GCCGCCATTTGTGTTCCAGAATATATATATATATATATATCCACGTATACATATATATATATATGTATAGATATATAGATCTTCAACAGTTACCACGCCACCACAAACGGAAAGGGAGGAAGGAGACTGGCGTCGAGCCATGCGTTCATCGTACCACCCGCGGACATCGTGAATGATAAGAGATTCTGAGTCATGGTTAATTTTATTAATTATATTTTCTGATACGAGCCTAGAACTCTTAGTTCCTAAAAAACAGAAATGCAAAAAAGAGGGGAAAATTAAAAAAAGAGAAAGAAACAAATCAAGAAAGGAGAGGGGGAGCGAGCGGAGAGAAGAAGTTGGTTCGCCGAGCGCTGTGCACCCAAGGAGGCGACCGGCCGAGGAGGTTTGCAAGCCTGGCGAGTCAGCACGGAGGAGGAGGAGTTGTCCTGCGCCGAAACCCCCCAAAACCGGCCCAAAAAGCGGTTGTCCGAACAGTTCCTGCCGAGGGCACGGGCGACGCTCACCGCGCGTCGAGGCGGAGGGAGACGCTGAATCTTTTTATGGGATATATATATACAGTATATATAAATATACATATATATATATAATTTTTTTTTTGTTAGCGTTCTAGCCACGGTTCCCAGCAGGGTCCTTCCGCTGCCATTACTGCATGCTGTATATGGAGTTAGGTGTGTATCGGTCCTCAACGAGACAAGCGTCTCGGTCCACGCGTCCCCGAAACCCCTCGCCTTTCTGCCCTCGGGTCGCCAGCGCGCTGGGGGCGAAGGGCCGCGGGGGACCGGGGCCCCTCTCCGTCGCCTTTTGCCACGTGGCCCCAGCCCCTTGGCGGCGGAATAAAGCGAACCAAGGGACAGAGGGAGATCTATATAGCTCAGTTTTATATTTTTTTATATATATATATGTACGTATATGTGTGGGCGAAGCGATCGGCACCCGGCCGCCACCGTGGGCCGAAACGCGGGACCAGTCAACTCGCGGTACGTTTAGGCGGGGGTCTCCCCCGTGGTCGGTTCTCCTCCTTCGGTTTCCTTTCCTTCCCCATGGCCAACGGCGGGGGGCAAGTGGGGGGCCCGGGCGCGGGCGGGCGGCGAGGGGGCTCTCTCTGCCTATCCATTAAAACGATTGTTCCATGTGGCCGCTCCGTCTGGTTGTGGTGCTCATTGCCGCGGGGGCCGGGGCTGCCCCGCGCTCTCCCCCCGCGCCGCCGGGGACGGGGAGGGACGCGGGGAGGAACACCAGGGGGGAGGGATGCCGGGTGGGAGCACCAAATCATTGCAACGGGCCAGGAGAGCATCGGAGAGATGGCACCTGGACCTTGCCGGCAAGCCCAGCGCGGATGCCGTCACAAGGTAAGGCTTTGGTGAGTAGATGAGGAGTGCGTGGGGCACAGCTCTGCCCTATTTCCCCCACGCAGGATCCCACCCATCTGCTCGGGGCCCCAAAAGGTTTCCGTGTAGCCCTCGGCCTCGACGGCGCAACGTTGCAGGGAAAGCTCGTGGAGCGGCCGAAGCGAGTCCCGCAGGAAGGAGAGACGCAGCGATATGAGGTGGGTGTAGGAAACGGGGTGCCCCTGTGCAAAGCTGCGTACGGGTGAAGCACAGTGGGACAGAGGCACACATTTGGGTGTAGGTGCAACTCACACGGGCCGGGGTGCGTCGGGGCTTGTCTGGGCCGGTGTTTTGGTTTTTTGCTGAGTTGCAGAAGGTTTCTGTGTGCGTTTGGTCCTCCTCGGTGTGTACGGTCCTCGACCGTAGCCTCCAGGCTCTGTGCTTCCCCAAGGCACCCGGGATGTTTTTGTAGGATCAGAAGCCGGTCAGTAGCGATGGCAGAACTGGTTGTTGGTGTTTTGTTCTTAACTGTATGATGAGTTTGTGCAAGAAATGGGCACAGAGAATGGGGAGAGATCAAAAGGGATGGCAAGGTGTTGCTTTGTGATGTGACATATGTGCTCAAGGACATGGTTTAGTGGTGGACGTGGCAGTGCTGGGTTAACGGTTGGACTTGATGATCTTAAAGGTCTTTTGCAACCTAAACGATTCTATGATTCTCTATGGCAGCTGAGAGTTACCGGTGCTGGGGAAGGGGAAAGCCATGCCAGTGCCGTTAAGGCTTCATGGCACATCCCAAGTGAGAGACAGGGTAGTGAAGAGATGGGGACAGGATGGCCGGGCGCAGGCAGCTTTCTGCCTCCCACGGTCAGGATGGCACAGGAGGAGGTGGCCAGCCAGCCCAGCCCCACAGGGGTATGCTGGAGGCAGCCCTCCCAGCGCCCATGCTTTATAGGAGAGTGCGTTGCGGCCAGTTTTGTCCTTTGCAGCAGATATGTCTCTCCCAGGGGAAAAGATGGGGGGGGTCTTTGTGCAGGTCTTAAGACTGCCAGGCAGGGGTGGTCATCCGTGGTAGAGCAAGTCTGGCAGGGATGCGACCCAGCACCCAAAGATGCGTATGGAGGTACCGGGGCCGTCTCCCTCACCTCCTCCCTTTAATGTCAAATTTTTTGGTGCTCTAGGTGTCTGGTGGCAGGGTTTGAGGGACGAAGAGCAAGTTAAAGAGGGAGAGGCTGTTTGACGGATGCATTTATGTATTCATTTATTGACATGTGTCTTGGTGGGAAAGGGAGGGATGGATGTCATGGCCTGAAATATGCTCTCTGTCCCTCTGGATGTCACAGCTGTGGTCCTTGTCCACAGACACAAGTCAGGTGTTGCTGAGGCCCTCCTTGACCTGGAAAGGGAGCCGGTGGGCACCCCGCGGCGAGGCTCACGGCGGGAAGGGTCTGCGTCGTGTCCCCCAACGCTTGGCAATCATATAAAAGGGGGAGATGTAGATGAGGCGTCGGGACGTGCCATGAGCCGGGATGTTCGGGTGTCCGTAGGGGTTTCTCTCCAGTGGAGATGTTAGCGAGGCCGCGTCGGCAGTGGGACACGTAGGGGCTGCGCGCAAGAGGCGAGTGTTCCTTCGTGGCACCTGTAGTTATATTGCACAGAGGGGCAGCGGGGTTTAGGGCGCCCGGGCCAGTGTTGGGCAGGCTCTCCCCTCCCGGACCCCTGTCCTGGGGAGGCCAGTGGGTTTTGGGAAGCACTTACCTTTCTGCCAGGGTCAGCAGAGATGTTCCTGATGTATGGAGTTGCTGTAGTTTGTGCTGGGATGGAGCCATTTGCTTGGCTGGTTGCTGCGCACAAGCGCCGGCTGTCAGTGGAAGGGCTGTTTGCTGCACGGTTTGGCGATAAACTCTCAGGACCAGGCTTTTCATCTGTGTTTCAGGGAAGGCGAAGAGAGGCCTGCTCCTGCCAAGGAGATTGCACAAAGCAGGCAACCCCCCTGATGCGTACAGCATCGTCCCGCAGCCCCTCACTCCCCCACGGTCGCTGCAGGTGCCCCCAGCAGCATTCCCATCATGGGACGGGACATACGGCTGAGGGACGTCAGCTTTGTGATTTCCCTAGGGAAACGGGGACTCTCATCCGCTCGGTGGCCACGCAAGCTCTGTTGGTGGCACACAGCAGCAAGAGGACCAGGCACCCAGAGGTGATCAGGCAACAGCTGTCCTCTGGCTCGTGCCCGAGATAGTTGGCGAGACGTGGGTCTTAACGCTTGGCAGCCACCAGCCCCACATTAGGGGAGCTTGTTGAATGTTTTTTCCCGGTTGATGGGGTAGAAAGGTGCGGCGTCACCAGGGGAGCAGGGGGTGCAGCCTGCCACCTCAGCCCCGCATTTTTAGGGTGAGATGGTAGCTGTGCCGGGGAGACACCGAAGGTCACAGCTCCTTCTCCCGGTCTTTGCTGTCTTTGTCCTTTGAGGAAGACATTTTGTCCGTGTCATGCGCCATCAGATCGCAATAGGAGCAAACGACCCTTAGGAGCATGTTGTCTGCAGAGGTGTCCCTTGCCGTGGCGGTAGGTTTAGTTGTCAGAGCAGGCGTTGTTACAAGACAGCAGAGAAGATGCTGGGAACGGCTCAGTCGCCAGAAGGAGGCCCCCGATCACGCCGCTTCTGCCGAATGTAGGTGAACGATGAGAGAAAAGCCGGTCCTTACCCTGCAGGGGCTCCATCAACAGGTACGTGCTCATCGGCGGCCGGGGGACGGAGGCAGGTGGGACCTGGGACCCATTGGCAGAGCCCTGAGGCCAGTTCCCAGGGCAGGCGTTGAGACAGGGCAAGGGATGGCCTGAATGGCAGTGGACCCCCAGTCGGGGAGCTCGAAGCATTGCCATTGCAGGGGGAGATCAAAAAAGGCTCCACCTAAGCCTCGGGCGAGGCTACGGGAGCAACAGAGGTCCTCCTGGCTCAGCGTGGCGGGCGCCGCGGGGTCCGCAAAGCAAAGCCCCGAAGGTACAAAGTTCGTCAAACTTTATTGATACACTGCACAATCACAACCATCTCTTATTCTTGCCGAATTAGAAAAGGTTACAACTACAATGTAACATGCACAAATCTCAGGTAGTATAGCCACCCTTGGAATACAATGATCGACGGAAACTCAAGACTGGACGTCGTGGCCGTCGGCAGGAGAGACCCGGGAGCCGCGCTCCCCCAAGCACCCAGCCGCCCCCCAAGCGTCCGAACGCGGAGAGCGGCGGTCACGAAGGGGTCCGTTGCCCAGCCAAGCCGCGGCAGGGCCGGCCTCAGACAGCCAACACGTTCCTCACAATGGCACGTTACACGGCACGAGAAAGTCGAACGCCGTCCCAGCAGAGGAGGACAGGGGAGCCGACCTGGCCCGGGAAGGAGAACAGAGGGGTGCGGGGGGATGGCCCTGGCTGCCAGCCTCGGTGTGCGTCGTGGCATGTCGTCGTCACCGCCAATATGCCACGGCCTCTGGCCCTGCACATCTGGGGCTAGTTCAGCACTTCTGCCGCGAGGAGAGAGAAATTTGGGGCTGGTGCGGGGAGGCACCAGGGCGGCGGGGGGGACTATCGTGGGGAGAGCACTGGGGCGAGGCGTCTCCTGCGCCCCAAGGGTACTTTTGGAGGGGGCACGCAGGGAAGGACGTGCGTGCCACCATGCTGGCTGAAGACACCAGCGGAGAAGCAGAGCAGCACCGCAGGGACCGCAGGACGTGGACTCGCCGGGTCAGCGCCGTGCCGTGCCGGATTCCCCACCCATCAGGTAAGCCAGCGCCGGAGCAGCCCCCGCCTCGGGCCACGTATTTTTTTGCCAATCAGCCGTGGTACATGTTGAACGTGCAGGGTGTAGGGGCAGGAGCATCCATTGAGATTTTTGTAGCTGTTGCTTTTTCTTTTTTGCAACAGCCTTGCGCCACGTGCTGGTCAGCACGGGTCCCGGGCAGCCCACTGAGAGTGGGGACAAGAAAGGGTCACAGCCACATAAAGGATGGGGTGGTGGCACGTCGCAGCCTGGAGGTCAGGGGGTTTTTCCTATCTTGCGCGCCTAGGACTGTCAGCCCCAGCTTCCTAGCAGCCACAGAAAGTGGAATGGTGGAGCAGGAGGTTTCAGTAGCAGCAGAGTTTGCATGGGAAAGACGGTGTGTGCGGGGCCATTGCTCTTAAGCCATCTTGTTTATGGAGGGAGAAGCAAGAGGCAAGGCACGGGGAGGCGTCGGGTCAGGACAGGGGGATGCTTTGTGTGCTTGCTCAGCGTGTCGCTGTAGAGTTGTGTCCCTGTGGCAGGCATAGGGTCTGGTGCTGCACGTGACTTTTCAGGAGCAGGACAGGAGGGTCCGTCCCCGGACCGTGGTCCCGAAGTGTTCCTGGGCAACCATGGAGCCACGCCGAGGGGACCGCCACACAGGGTGCTCTTGGGCGCACGAGCCTGAATGCGGGGAGCCCACACAGCCGCTGTTGTGGGCGGCGGGGGAGGGGGCAGAGGCTCCCAGGGTGGCTGGAGGAAGCAGAAGGCGCATCCATTTTGTCGTCAAAGGTCTGTAGCAGCAGGGAGGACTGGCAAGCAGCAGGCTAGGAGCATAGGAGCCATCCTTGTCCCTGCCATGCCAGTGCAGCGAATTGACGGAGCCCGAGCCTCCTCCGCAGGGTGAAATGCATCAGACTCTCCTTGGGCAGGGGCACGCGGCGGGCGTGAGAAAAAGCAGAGTGCGGATGTTGCAGTTCAGGGGTGCTCCCGTGTTTCTTCCATCCCTCAGGGAGGCAGAGATGCTCAGCTGAATGGTACAGGGAGGCCATGCCCGGAGACGGACCGGGGAGGCATGGAGCGGCCGATGTGCAGACCTCGAGGCCGGGACCGTGCAGTCCCATCCCCTCCAGGCGCGTGCAGACAGGTGGGAGCATCGGAGCTGTAGGAAAAGGGGCTTGTTTTGCTGTGTGGCTTACTGCCTCTGCCCAGTGTCGGTAGTGCTGTGCTTTTGATGTGCAGGTTGGAAAGCGCAGAGGAACCTCCCCGACAAGTGCTGGCAGTGCAAGAACCACGGGGCAGGTCCTGCCATGAGGGGAGAGAGCAGCAGAGCAGGCAGGGGGTCCGGAGTGAGGAGGGCTCACATTCCTGGGAGAGCAGCCTCGTGCCCTCAGGACGGGTGGTAGTTATGATGTTAGCTCAGAGAAAGAGTAGCGTGACCCTTGAAAGCTAACTGGTTGTGTCGGGTGACCCCCTTGGAAGGGGCTGGTGAGCATCATGGTTGGGCCACCCTGTGGGGCCATGCCACGGCCTCGGGGAGCGGGAAGGGCCTGAGAGCAGAGGTGAGGCCAGGCAGTGGGGGGCCAGCGATGTCGGGGGTGCTTAGGGAGGAGCTTTGGCGGTGAGAACTGACATTCGGGACCAAGAGGGCTGAAGGCAGAGCCAGGGGCTTCAACCTTGGGGTCTTTTGGGCATAGGCGGCTTAGCAAGATGACGAGACGGACATCTCCGGTGACGGCTCTGGGCAACGCCCACCCCGACGGCTCCGCGTCCCTCCACATCGGGGACAAGGCGGCCACGGGGAGCCCTGTCCGCGCCGGACCACATCCCTGGGGTGATGGTGGCGGGTGACAGTCTGGTGGCACGTGGTGGGATCTGTACAGCGTAACCGGCGGCGAGAACAATCCCGGCACGCGGGAGACGCGGCCATCCTCGGACGCTCGGCGCCGCCGCCCGTCCTCCGGCGCATCGCCCGTCCGACGGAGACGAGTCCCCGGGCGGCGCGGCGGGCCAAGCCCGCGGCGGGGGAGAGGCGCGGTGGGGCCTCCCGGGACCCTCCGCTCCCTTATCAAAAGTCGAGGAGGAGGCGAGCGAGAAGGGTGGCCCAGAGGCAGAGGCCAGCGGCCGCCCGGGATGCCGCATTGCCGCCGTCATGCACCGCTCCGGGCCCTGTGCAGGAGAGAAAAGGGACAGCGTTAGGGCTGGCAGTGAGCTTAAGCGGTCGCGTTCTTGCATGAAGGGCACTGCCCTCCCTGTTGTCCCTGCGTGTCCCCATCCGCTTCACCATGCCACCCCTCCACGGTGCTGGTGCCGGGTGTTTGTCCATTGTTTGGAAAGTGTTGCCAGTGTAGTTGTTGGTGTGGGGTCTCGAGGAGGTAGGCAAGGAGCTCAAAGCACATTTAGGGGTGACATGGTCCTTGTTTGAGGAGGAAGATGCCCTGGGCAGGTGCCAGTCTGTCCCCACCACGCTCGGAGGTCGCCCTCCTCTGAGGATGCTGTGCAGCAGCAGGACCAGCCGTGCTGCATCCCTGCTGGGAAATGAGTCCAGGAGGCAAGTGGGCGCTCCGGGCAGCGACGTGGTTTTGTCGGGAGCAGAACATGATTGTGCAGGCAGGTTCTTAGCAGGGGCATGAGGGAGAGGATGGCATGGAGGGCGGGTGAGGCAGGGGATGCCCAGGAGGGCGTGGGTAGTGAGAGTTGAGGAGGGCTGGGAGACGGGCAGCCGTGCAGCAGGGGTGAGGAGTGTGCTCCGGGATGACCCCGGCATCTTGCGCCTTGAGGTTTTTTAGCCCCGGGTAGCAGAGTTAGTTGGCAAGGCAGCGTGCTTGCATGCCGTTTGCTGCAGGCCGGCCCTCGGCACGGCACAGAAAGGGCCAGCGCGGGAGCAAGCCTTGCCAAGACCCGCTGGCCCACTCTGGAGAGAGGAGGTGGCACCACTGCATGCGTCTGTCAGTCATGTCAGTCACCCCGTGCCATGCATCTGGTGGGGACAGAGCCTGGGGTGGCCATGACAGCAGCTCTCTGGGGAAGACCCCATGGGCTCTTGGGACCATGGGGTTTAGGGTGCCAGGAGGAGTATGGCCGGTGCAATTGCAGAGGGCCAATGTGGGGCTTGTTCCTGTCAGGCAGGTTTCTAGGACGGCCAGGGGAACGGTGGCAGAGCGGAGCAGCCGGATCCCCTTTCCCAGAGCAGAGAAGACGATCGGCGAGGGAGGCTGCCGAGACGCCCATCATGCAGAGGAAGCTTGCATTTTGGCCAGCACGTCTAGGGCTGCGGACAAGACATAAGCAACAGAGACATGCCATAGAGCAACAAAGACATGCCACGGGGAGAGGCTGGGTGTGCATGCAGGTGGTGGGTCACGGTGTGGGGTGCAAATACAACTTCATGATCAGCAAGATACAAACGGCCACAAGAGAGCCGCCTGGGACGGCTGGGACCGGAGACCTCAGTGCTCGGGAGCCGTGTGACTCGTGGCCAGCAACAAAGGCTTGCCAACGCGGGAGACAGCATCGTCTGGACGCGTGGAGTCTCAGGTATGTGGGGACGTTTTGGGGTTGCAGCACGGGGGGCTCCTTGGCAGGCAGACCAGGCGAGGAGGACATGGGCGGGTGGCTGTCGGGGTACGCGTCTGGACTGGAGGTTTGTTGCATCTTGTCGGATGAGGGCTGTTGGGTGCATGGGCGTGCCAGTCAGGATCAGAGACAGCCAGGCAGAGTGAGGGAAGCCGAGACAGTCGCCTGGCAGTTCGCTGAGGGCCAGGTGCGGGGCCCGGAGGACAGACAGGGCGTGGGTCTGCCTGCACTCCCTATGCCTGCGGAGAGGCAGGAGGAGATGACATGGGACGGACGGGTAGGGACAGAGAAGGGTGCAGAGAGGGTAGTGGGGAGAGGTGGCTTGCCCAACAAATGGCTGGCTGGGCAGGGCTAGCATCCTCTGGACGGCGAGGCAGCAGAAGAGCTCAGTTGGTGAGGGTCCATCCGGAGAGCCGGCCAGCATGGTGGGCCAGTGGGGGTGCAGCCACCTGGCAGGGCGGGTAGCAGGGTAGGTCATTGGGTAGGAAGAATGAGAGACCAAGTCGTGGCAGGCAAGGAGCACACACGTGAGGGCCGGACGTTGTGCCGGGGAGGCAGCAGGACAGCCCATCATACAATGGGACGGGCAGAGGGAAGCCTAGGAGGGTAGGTGCCGGTCATTGCCGAGAGGCAGACGGCCGTAGCGACAGCCGGCTGGGTACACCGGCTAAGTAAGGGAAAATAGAGAGGGAGGGAGGGAAGACCGTGGGCGCAAACTGGCGGGCGGGCGTAGATTGAGTGCGAGATGAGGACTGTTGCTGTCTCCCTGCTTGCCTCTGTGTCTGATTCTGTCCCTGGTTTTCCCTCTTGATCCCTGTTTGTCTCTCTCTGTCTTTGCATCCCAGTTGGCCCTGTTCTGCATCACCCCGTCTCTGTATGTGTCCCTGTGCGTCCGTGTCTGCCTGTGTCTCCATCTGTCCCTCTCCTTCCACCCCTGTGTATCTCTGTCTCCTTCTGTCTCCCCTTCTCTTCTTCTGCCTGTGTTTTGCGGCATCTTCCTCTGTCCCCGCCTCTGTCTCCCCATCTGTCCTTCCCTCCCCACCTCCATCACCCCATCCTTCTCCCTCCCCAGGTCTCTTGTGCTCTCTCTGCCCCTCTCCCTCTGTCCATGCAGCCTCTCTCGCCCCGCCTCCCCTCGTGGGCATCAGTCTCCCTCGATGATCCTCTGTCGATCGTCTCTCCTGCTGCCTGTATGTCTGGGTCAGTCTCCCAGCGTTGGCCCAGGCATCCCCCTGGCTGCCGCATCCCAGGGCCTCGGCGTCCCTCCATCGCTCCTTCTGTATCTTGGACTTTCAGGGCATCTCCTTCTGTCCACCTTGGCGCCGGGCTCCCTTTGTTGGTCTTGGCCCTCTGCCTGTCCCCTTTCTCGGTGTCCAGGTCCGTCCTCATCTGTGCCTCCACCTCTCCCTCCCTCTCAGTGCCTGCCTGTCTGTTCTTGCCCTCCTTACTTTTTTTGCATCTCCCTTATTTTTGCTCTGTGTCTCCCTGTCTCGTCGTTTCTGTCTGTGTTTGTCCCTGGGTCCCTCTCTTGCCGAGTCTTCTCTCTCTGTGTGGGTCTCACGGTCCCTCTCCATCCCTGTCTGCCCCCCCCTCCATTTCTGCCCTCTGTCCATCCCTCCTTGCTCGTGGTCTTCCTTTCCCCATCTGTCTGTCTCTCCCCTCCCTACTACCATTGTTGCATCTCCCTTGCTCCCCCGTCTCTGCCACCCTCTGTCTGTGCGTGTCACCCCCGCCTTTGTCTCTGTCGGTGGCTGGTTTATGTGCTCTCTGTGCGCGTCTGTCTAGGTGGCCGGCCTGCACGCACTCTCTGCATCTCTCCCTCTTTGTACCAATCCCTTGTTGTCCCTCCCCTCATCTCTCTCTCTCTGTTTCCCTGCCTCTGTCTCCATCTCCCTCTTTGCATCCTGCTCTCTGCCTCTCTGTGTTCACCTCCCTTTTTTTCCTATGCCGGTGTGCCTCATTGTCCATCTCCCCCCACCTCCCCATGTCTGTCCCTCTCTCTGTGTCTCACTTTCTGTCTCCCCATCTCCTGCTGCCTTCCTGTGTCTCCGTCCCCCCTCTTTCTCTAAGTCCTTATCTCTGTCCCTGTGTTTTGCCCTTTTTCTCTGTATCTGTTTCTCTCCCTCTTTTGGTCTGCCTGTACCTTTCTGTTGCTGTGTTCCCCCTGCCTCCTCCTGGGTCTCTCTCCCTCTCCTGCCCCTTGTCTTGTGTATCTGTCTCTCAATTCCTACTCCCCCTTTGTGTCTCCCTCCATTTTCCATTCTGTGTCTGTCCATTGCCTGTGGTCCTTCCTCCTGTCTGTGTCATGGTGTGCCTGTCCTCCCTTTCTGTAACTACCCGTCTGCCCCTCTCATGGCTTCTCTTTCTGTCCGGTTGCCCGCCCTCCATCTCTCTCTCGCCTTGGTATTTCCTTTTTCTCTGTTATGCCTCCCCTCGCTGTCTCTCCTCTTTTCTGTGTCTGTGTTGTTTTGTCCTCCCCCTCGCTGTCTCTCCCCGAGTGTCTCTGTTGGTCCTTCCTTGTCTTAGTCTCTCTCTCTGGTCCACCACCCCTTGCCCCTCTGTCCGTCCTCTGCGTCTCCCCTTCCTTTGTCATTCCCCCACATCCCGTGCCACATCTCCCTCTGTTTCTGTCTGCCCCCCTTCCTCTGTTCGATGTCACCTTCTCCCCATCTCTCCCTCCCCTTTGGTGCCACCTCCTTATTTTTGTTTCTGGCTGCTTTGGGTTCTCCATCCAGATCTCCCTCTTTCTATTGGTGTCCTGTCCCACCCCCTTGTCCGTGTGTCCCTCTGCCCCCCCGGTGTATGTCTCTGTCTTTCTTGCTCTGTCTCTCGAATGTGTCCCTTGTGGGACCGCCCCTCTTTCCCTCTGCACGCCACCCCAGTCCGTGTCTCCTCTCCGTCCACCATTGTCTTCCTAATGGGTCTCCCTCTTTTCTCCCCTGCAGCCCGGCCACAGGACAACAAGCCCCTGACAGGCACGTTCTTGGCAACGCCTGCGCACACCAACTCACCCCACTTTGGGTGCTACTGAGGACAACAGCACCCCTGCATGCGGACACACTACTGTTTGTTCACTGCAATAAAGTTGTTTTCCTGCAATAAGTTATCTTTCCTCCTGTGGTGCCCAAACCCCCTCTGTCCTGCCACAGGAGGGGGGGGACAATAGGGCTTTTTATTCAAGCCCCCAAGTGCACGGCTGTAGCACACACCAGACCACAACGGGGACAGGCTAGCCTGGTGCCAACAACCAGACATGGGGTTACAATGTGACAGGCCAGCCCGCATCAGGTATTGGGCCTGATCAATAAAAACACAGCAGATCTGAGTGATCAGCGCCTGATAGAGTGTGGTGGACTGCACCTAGGCACAACTGTACAGAAGACAATAGAACAGAAAAAAAAATCCATCCTGTATAATATATAAAATACAATATGTGTAATTAGTACTATATCCTATCAGCTATTTAATACATACTTTTCCTACAATATGTATAATACTCTATCCTATCTATATAATAATGTCCATTGTATCTATTAAATATAATTATACAATATATTGTAAATATTAATTGTGATTATTATATAATATAATATCGTGTCATATATTATATCACATCCTACTCTATCCTATCTAAATAATAATGTCCATTGTATCTATTAAATATAAATGTCCATCCTATCATGTATTAAATATAATTATACAATATATTGTAAATATTAATTATGATTATCCTATAATATAATATCGTGTCATTATATTATATCCTACTCTATCCAATAATGTCCATCATATCTATTAAATATAATTATATAATACACAATATATTCTAATGTATTATGATTATTATATCCTATAATATCGTGTCATATATTATATCACATCCTACTCTATCCTATCTGTATAATAATGTCCATTGTATCTATTAAATATAATATCCTATCTATTAAATATAAATGTCCATCCTATCATGTATTAAATATAATTATACAATATATTGTAAATATTAATTATGATTATTATATCCTATCTATATAATAATGTCCATCATATCTATTAAATATAATTATACAATATATTCTAATGTATTATGATTATTATATCCTATAATATATTATATCATATCATATATTATATCACATCCTATCTATATAATAATGTCCATCGTATCTATTAAATATAATATCCTATCTATTAAATATAATTATATAATACACAATATATTCTAATGTATTCTAATATATTATGATAATTTGTATTATGATAATTATATCCTATAATATAATATCATATCCTATCTATTAAATATAATTATATAATACACAATATATTCTAATATATTCTAATATATTAATATATTCTAATGTATTCTAATATATTATGATAATTATGATATCCTATAATATAATATCATGTCATATATTATATTATATGATATCATATAATATCCTATAATATAATATCCTATCATAGAATATAATGAATATAATCCTATCATATATAATATGATGAATATATATAATATATTATAATTATATATAATTATATATAATAATGAATCTATATAATATATATATAATATAATATAATGAATATAATCCTATCATAGAATATAATACAATATATCATATCCTACTCTATCCTAATTTACCAGGACACAACAAATTAGAATACACCACAATCGAACAGACCTGGCCAACCCAGAATAGCGGCGAGTAGAACGCAACACAACAGACCGGAGGAGACTAGAATGCCATAGACCAGAACGGATTGGAATGGACCGGCACAACAGAACGCAACAGGTTAGCCACAAGGAGAGCAGCATAGAATAGACCTGAGCAGGCCAGACCCAAACACCAGAGAGCGCAACAGTACACGAGACCAGCGCGCGCAGAACAGAGCAGATCCAAACTGCCCAGGACAAAACACAGGACTGTTGTTACAACATAGAACAGACCTGAGTCCATTAGACCCTCAGACCCTCCGCAGAGCAGAGCAGGATAGACCTGAACTTGGCACAAATGGGACAAAACTCCAACCAAGCAGCCCACTAGAGAACAAAATAGACCAGACCTGAGCAGACCAGATCAGCCCTCTACAAACTAGAGAGCAGAAACAAATACATGAGAACAGAGCAGATTGGCACAGAATACACTAGATCAGGAAAGAACAAACTTGGGGGGGCACACCAGAACACATTAGCTCCTGTGGAAGGGACCTACACCAATCATCACTTGCAGCTGACTGAGCCCTTCAGGCCTGACCTAACCATCAAAGCAGGTCACTAAGGGTCTCGGTGCCAACAGGCATGGGACAACGGCCGCCCCTCTAGGAAGCCCCCCTCTCCCAGTCTGCACAGCCCCTTTGTCCCCCACGTCACCACAGGACAATGCCTTGACCTCCCACCGTTCCACCCCACCCCACCCCAACTCTCCCCTCCATCTATCCTGTGCCTCCCTGCCCTGAAACACACATGCGTCCCCTCCTCCCTGGGGACAAGGAATGACACTGGGCACTGCCCGATGACAAGTGACGGACCATTCCCCCTACTGCTCCACACCCCATCACTACCCATCTAGCACCCTCCCACCCCAACAGCTACAATGACCCACAAACACCACAATCCCTAGAAGCCACCTCCCCCTTGCCGAGCCCCTACAACGCACCCGTGCCGAAGCGAGGCACCCCACGTGCCACGCTCTCCAATGCACGGCAACTAAAGCCAAAGCCGTGCACCACTCCACCTCAAATCACCAAGCACTCTCCACAGCCCACAAGGCTGCACACCTCCAGGAAGGCCAAGGGGCTATGCCTTGGCCCCTTGAGAGGTGCCCACCGGGTCCACCACTTCCCTATTGCCACCACACGCTACAGTCCTAGACAGCCAGGGGACAGTGTTAGCCCCTG